AATCGATACGTCCTGATTATGTACATAGAGAGATCAACGACCGGTTTGAAGGTCGGTGAAAAGATTTCATTGTAACGTGGTCATTGTAAAAGGGAGTTGCACGTTGAACGAATAATCAATTTCCGGCTTCCTCATTGTCGATGCACTGCCGTGATCGCGCTCATGATCACCCGTGTAACTTTATGGCGATAGAAATTTTTTCAAGGTGGGGTCGAATGATAGGACGGACCCGTGATCGAGGTTCGTATGTAACGAAACACAAACCATCCCGAACGAAAGAGGAATATAAAATTTAAGCAGCGGTAAATACACGCGTTCGATAAACGTCACGATCACTGATCTCGATCAATGACGGAGAACTCTCGCGATCAGCGCGTCCAGAACGATGGCGCAGAACGAGTCATCGATCGAATCGAGAGTAAATCCTTGACGGAGGACGGAAGGTCGATAGGTGTCCGAGCGTACTTGACCCTGGCTTTATCGGTTCAAGGCGAGGTGGAAAGCCGCTTCCGTCTCTCGATCTTCGTTTTTTTTGGAACGGCGCGGCGGTTGGAGGAGGTTGGACGAAGAACTATCCCTTAACTTGGGTGGGGAATCGTCTTCTTATTTACCTAGAGCGTATTAGAGAATGCTTAATAATCGCAGCTCGGTCGGAGGCAGGTGGTGGTGGCTTGACCGACTTTTAAAGAAACCTTGGGGGGAGTTGGGCGGCATCTTCAGTTAGACATTGGACTCCGTCGAAGGCGAAGAGTCGGAAAAAAGAGCCGGAGGGTGCGACGCGAGGGAGACACGCTCGATTATCGATTAATGATAACAATCGATCGTCAACAAATTTTCCTCTGCTTTCTTCCCTGCCTCCATCGTGCACAGGTCAGTGTCAAATCTCCAATTAATATTCTCGCTGTTTGCGCTGTCTTTCGCGAGGTGATCGCCAAACTTTTATCCTCTTCTCTCTAATATCTCGCGCGTATCGTGGCCGTTTCAAATTAGAACAGAGTCGAGACTTATATGACTGATCCTTGATCGCCAAGATGGGATCAGGAAGAACAGATCGACGAGTAGAATGCATACCTACGCGTCCCGATCACCGTTTCCTCGCGACCTCACCGCGCAACGATGTTAACCGCATAAAGACGATTGACGCAGCACGTGCGTGCTTCCTGGAGCGCGTTCTTCGAACCGGTAAACCTTCTCTGGAGAGTCGTCTCTGGCCGTGACCGTGATTTTAGGTCAACCGGTCGCGGAAACGAGAAGTAGTTAGCGCTCGTCGTCGCGACGAGTCCATCGGCCGAAACAAGAGCTAATAAAACCGTTTCGCGTCCTTCTCGTTACGAGAATCTCGAAAATAAATCCTCCTGTCGTGGATCAACAGCGCGCTTCTCATCAACAACCCCTTCACCTCGTGTGCGAACGATTAATCGAGCGCGAGCGACGCACGTGGTCGTATCGTTTCGATGTTATTAAGATCCTCTGCGACTCTGCACGACAGACAACGGTGTTCCGTTAGCTCTCTTAACTGTCTGGGTCAATTTGTGAACGATCGTTGAGTTGAGAGAGATGATGAGAATTTTGCGGGTGAAACGGTTTTGTATGCATAACCGATTAACCGCTTTCGAGGCGGAATGAAGAATCTTAAATCGCGGACGGGAAACGGTGTATTTTTTTATGTTTCGTGGAAATGAAAGATGGGATAGAAGAAGATAGGTTCGTTGTGGGGATTGGTTGAATGTCAATGCGCCTCGTTATGTAAAAATTCTTTCCTTTGAAACGTAGAGGGAAAGCGTTAGAATGTTAAGTACACAAGATTGTGTTTCGCTTCGCGAACAATGCAATGCGATAGACACGCGTATGAGGGGATATTTGGAATATAAATGTTCGTAGAAGAAACGTCAAAGCGATCGTACCCTGTTGTGCGTTACAGAAAGAAAACGAAGATGCGGCTGTCGATGGTGGTCGAACTGTTGCTGATTCTTCTTCTGGTCGCGTTCGCCGCTTATGGCAGGGTGATCGGTAATGATTTTCCAAGATTCTTCTTCTTCTTCTTTTTTTTTTTTTTTCAAGATCGTTAACGCCAATTCTTCTAATTCGTAATTTCGTAAATTCGTAATTTCACTCGAAATTGTTGGCTTCCTTGTTGCCAGGAAAGGAAACGTTTCATTGAAGGATTGGAGTTAACGAGAGATAAATTTGGAGCGAGTCATCTCGTTCTTTAAAAGCCGAATAAAACTTGATTTGAAAAATTTACTTTGAAAAATTAAAGCGACGATTTCGTCGTGGCGTGATCGTTAAGATATTATAACTTATATATATAAGAAATGGAAAACGGATTCTATTTTTCTTCTATAATCTTCTATAATTAAATTAATCCGATAGAACGCGATGGAAAAACGGAGGAGAGATCAATCGGAAATGCGAGCGAGGATAACCTTGGAATATCAACGTTGTCGTTGAAACAGGCGACCGACGATGTGAACAGATATTGCACCTGCAACGAGAACATATGTAATTGTTGCAGAGACTTCCATATACCTTTGGTGCAATTACAAGGACCAGGTAAGCATTGTGTAATTTGATTGAACGTAATAGAACGCGGCCACTAGAAAGCATAACAATCGACGAAACGAGACGATGAATGGATGTCACGTTACACTTATCCTCCCTGTGTATCCGTAAAAGACTCGAACGGGAACAATCGTTTCACGGAATTATCCTTTCATTCCGTTCCAGGATGCGCATCTCTGCAATACATACAAGGAGACAATTTGGCGGTGCAACTTAGCTTCGGAGATAACATCTTAACCAGCACCATCGTGAATGGTAAGTAAATACCATCGCGTCGATTCCTTTCTTTCTTTCTTTCTTTTTTTTTTTCTTTTTAATCTCCGAAAATATATAACGTTCGTTGTTGGATATTCCAGATTTTTTTCTCTCTCTTTGGAAGCTTCCATCACGTTCGGAAAATCGATTCGATCGAAAAGTATGTTAATAATTCTTCGAAGAATAAATCGAATAAATCGAATAACATATTCGACTTTCACCCAATATCCTAATATCGTTAGAGATATAACGTTTTATCGATCGTAGTTATCGATCTTCGGATATCGAAAAATCAAATTTCTCCTCTGAACTTGTTCCCTGTGAACCGAATCAATTATTCTAAATAAAAATAAAAATATTCATAATGATCGTCGTTCGATCGAATTTAGACCGAAAGATGAAAGTATCGCGCGTACGAATCGAGAAACGAATAAAGGAACCCGTTTCCCGAGAAGATTAGAAGATTCGCATTGACGTGAATAACAAGTTTCGTGCGATTGATTTTTAGGAAAAAATCCGAAACCCGTGTGCGTCCCGTTACCAGGAGGATTTACGAAATTCTGCGGTAGAATTTATTCCATTAAACGGGATGCCAAGAATCATTTCAAAGCCTGCCTTGGACTGGAGTTACAATCATCGACCGAACTCGAAGCTAGTTTACGCGTCAGCTGCTTCAGGTATCACGAGATTATCGTTCCTCCGATGAAAGAAAGAAGAATAGTAAAAATTACAAAACGAGATGGCGATATGTTTTATAGATTTGGGCCTGACGGTCTCAAGTTACGTCCAGCGGAACCGCTTCCTGTAGTGGAGACCGAGGTCCCGGACGAAGACGACGACGACGATTTCTTCGGCCTGGACTCGGACGAGGATGAGGAAGACGACGACTCCGAGGACGACACGCCGTTGGCCAACGCTGTCCCAGATTCCTCAGATTCGGCTGAAGAGGACGAGGACGAGGACGAGGACGAGGATGTCCTCGGGTTCGGGGCACTTTTGGATATTATTACCGGCGAGGACGAAACCGCGACGAAGAGACCGAAAGTAACCACGCCCGCGCCTCTTCTCCAATTTACGATCCCCATTTTAACCAAGCCGACGGCTTCGTCTGTTTCTAATTCCAACGTTGGAGGCAACGTGGTCGCGGGCACCAACTCGGAAGAATTGCCGAACGCGGACGAAGAGAGCGTTAATAACGAGGCGGATGACGAGTCCGTGGACACCGACACCACGATTAAAGAGGCAACCGTGACGGAGCCCTCGAATAAGATAGCGAAGCCCGATAAGGCACCGACGAAGAAATTCACGGTGTCGAATATAAGTACGAAGAAGCCGAGCGTTACGAGTTCCAGCATCAACGCGATCGAGAACGATGCGAATAAGAAGAGGAAACCTTTGAGGAAACCGGTGAAGGGCGGCGAGGAGGACGAGGACGATGATATTCTAGGGGACAGCTTGGACGACGACGACGACGACGACGACGACGAGGAGATTTTGAGCGACGACGAGGACGAGGATGAGAAGAATAGCGAAGAGGAAGAGGATGAGAAGAACGATGAGAGCGAGAATCACGAGGACGAGGACGAGAAAGCTGAACTCGAAGATTTGGATGATGATGACGAGGAAGAGGATGCGGTAATCAGCGCGCTGGTTTATGATGATAAAGAAGATGGGAAGAAGAAAGGCAAGGTGAAGAAACACGATCAGTCGTCCGAAGCGGACGATGATGACTCGGATTATGGATTGGGCCTCACCGGGCTTCTAGCGAGAAACAGAAATAATCGTCAGAGCAAAGAAATGAGATTTCCGATGATTGAAAATTCAACTCTCATCGTAGAGTCGTAAAATAATTGAAGATTATTGTGTGACGATGTTTTTTTCAAAAAAAAAGAAAAAAACTTGTAAGAGATCTATTGACTTTTTGAGCAACGTTTAATTATTTAACATTTGTTGAACGTTTTGCTATAAATCGATGAATTATCGTTGATGTCACGAAGCGTGTATGGAGACTGATAACTTCTTCCTTTCATTTTTCTCTTCTTTATCGAATATATTATTTATAAACATATAAAGATGGTTCAAATAATGATTAAGATAAATTTTCTTATCTAATTTGAAATAAAAATAAAGTTGAAAAGATATCTCATCAAATCTGATAAAATATTAATTTTTATTAATTTTATATACATTTTTTTTTATACGATAAAAATATGATAAAATATCATATAAAAATATAAAACGAATCATTTATTATATCAGTCAAGAAGAATTGTGCATAACATAAGCCATATAAATTTGTGCAAATAATTTAATAGTTTTTAATTGTAAGTCGAATTATATATATATTTATTTAATTAATTTATTGAACTTGTAAGTAAATGTATTGAAAATAAACTTATAATTATATTTATATCTTTTCAGGAATCACTCTTGCTACATCTTTAATATTACTTTCTGTCAAAAGTTTATCGATGATCATCTCAATTTAATTTTAATCTTCGATCTGAATCGTTGAACATTATTGAACTTTTCTTTTTCTTTCCTCCTCTTCCTTAAAATCATGTTGTTCAAATTGTTCAACGTTTTCCTAAAATTTTTAATGATACAGACCATTTGTATCGTTATGTACACGAATGTATCTCAACAAAATTATCTTGATATCGATCAGATGGGTAATTAATTATTTTTATAAAGATCAACAAACTTATTTCAATTAAACACTGACTAAACTAATTTAAAATATTGTTTCGTTTCATTTTATATTGTATTCATGATCAAATTTATGCAGAAAAGATTGAAAATTTGCTGACGGTCTATGATTTGGAAACTGAAATTCCGTTGAAAGGAGAATTGATCGATTTAAAGAAAGATGGATCGATCTCTACAACCGTATATCGTGTGAAATGCTTTTATGAAAATTATACTTACAATTGCTGCATAGGTATCAAGTTTTTATGGATAAAGGCTCCAGTGTGTGTCACGGCAGGTATTGACCGTGAAAATATCGGCATTTTTATAAAATTTACCATAAACCAAAAAAGGATCTTCTCCAAGAGCATATCTTGTAAGTATTCTTTTTAAAAAATTTTTCTTTCTAAAAAATATCCATATATCGTATATGTTTATTCTGAATCGAATTTTGAAACAAGAAATATCTTATATGTTACAGTAAAAAGTCCTGAGATCTGTATAAAAATTAAAAAATTAATTAAAAAAATCCATCTTGTAAAAGTTTGCATTAAAATACATGATATTTCTATTTCTGACGATAATCTGCATTTTTGCATTGACTTAAAAATTAAAATTTTGTTCATAACTAAAAAAATTCAATTCAATTGCGTAAACATTAAAACGAAGAGAATTAATTGGGATAATTTCGCACTGGAGCAACCTGATCAGACAGAGCAACAAGTCATCGAATTCACCTACGACGAAGAGGATTTTGATCTGAAAGATCTCGAGACTTATATCAATTATATATCAACATTGATTCCTAAAGAAGAACAAAAGATAGTTAAAAATAGACAATTAGAGTTGTAAAATAAAAATTGTTCATTAAATAGAAAAGAAAAAAAACACTATAGAAGATCTACGAATTAGATTCCCTCGTTGATTTCTTTTGTTTTTTTTCTTTTGATTCCAAAAAAAATTATCAAGTTATTGTCTATATAGAATTACATAGTTGACTGTTGATTGATCAATTTAAAGAATTATTCCAAATATAAGATTATTGGAGTAAAATTTCTATATTACCATATATATTGTTATTTATTTTAATATTATTCCGAATGAAAAATAGCGGATAAATAAATGACACTTTTATATCAAACAAGTTTTATACAAAGTTTTCTACCTAGTATCGGTTTTCTATTTGCTCCTACCAATCGTCAGCGTGTGCAGTGATATTTTTTCGCTTTATTTCCTTAATCGGATTATTATGGAGATTCAGTAGAAAATGAAATGTGACCAATACCAACCGAACCTAAATTTCTCCATAAAACGAGGTCGAAGTAAGATATCCGTTAACTGACCAGTCGAGTGTCGAACGTTCAACAAGAAATACTATTTACACATCATACGAAGAGATGTCCTCTCTTAGTGATTAAGATCGATTAAGACCGTTACTAGCTACCTAAGAAGGTACTACCTATCGAGAAATGAGGGCCGCCTATTGGTTGTTGTTCCTCGTTATTCTTTCTATTCAAAATTCCTTTCAACGGGTCGATAAAAGGATTATCGATTCGGAGAAAAAATCAGAAATATCCTTGAAAAATGACGAATTCGCGTATTCGAAGAAAGATTGGAACATGAAGAAGTTACAACAATTGTTGAAACAGGCGACGAATTCTTCCTCGAACGCGATCAGCCAAGTGACTGCCACGAGTCAAGGTCCCTGTACATGCGGAGGAGGTGTTTGCGCTTGTTGCTCTAGAATTTTACTCGACACTTGGAAACAAAAGGCGTGTGTGGATGTGACATACGATCCGGATGAATTTAGCTTCACGGCAAAAATTTCTATGAATGACAATGTTTTGTATTCGAGAACCGTATCTTGTATGCTTCATTCATAAATTATATCGATTTATTAAACTTTCCTTTCATTCAAAAACTTACGTTTGCAAGTGTTTCCAGGGAAGAATCCTCGGCCAATATGTGTACCAGTGCCACGATTTCAATTTATCAAAGCATGCGTCCGTTTTTATAACATTTATTTCCAAGGTAGGAATATTCATACGTGCGTGAACATGGAGGGGAAATTTAGAGATACCACGATATTTAAGGTAAGATATTGTTTAAGATAGATATTCGACGTACAAAATAGAAAAAGGAAATCTCTCTTTTCCTGCATCTTTTATGAATAATGCATATATTTCCAGGTCGGGTTAGATTGCATTAGATTCGGTGCAAACGGCTTGGCACTGGTAAAGCCAGAGGATGGAGGTGGATTAGGTCAAATAGAATTCTTGCCAGGTGACGATGATGAGGATGAGGACGATTATGATTACGACGATGACGACGACGACGACGACGACGATTTACTTGATTTTTGAGGAAACCTAAGATTCTGTTCGTGACGAGCGCGAAGGACTTTATAGTACAATTACATATTTCTACTGATATTGCGTGATGACGAATATTATTTATTGTATTTTAGTCTTATAGATAACAATTTAATACGACGTTTTGATTAAGTAATACGTAAGAGATTTTTATTGCAGTCAAGTTTTTCAATATAATTTTACATCGTATTCAAAATATCCTACTAAACTATTGAAAATAATGATATTGTGTTATTAGGAAAAATAGGCAAATAAAGAGATATATTCAAAAGCTATTTTTTTTCTATTATATCTCAATAATTACATCCTGCGGAGCAATCACCGTGCCCAGGTAGCATTGTTTAATAAAACACAAATCGTTTATACTGGTTAGTATAACTGTGACAGGAGCAACATATTTATATTATAGAATCAAATGTATTACAGTGAAAAAGTCCATTGAGAAAAGATTAAAAATGAATTCTAAAGTATGTGCTGTCCTGATTTCATTCTGGTTGCGATTACTCTTTTATTGGACGGGCAGTGCTGCGAAAGAAAGTTAGTTACTTCTTGTTTCTCGTTTCATATAATTATAAAAGTTAAATTTCACATAATTTTTAAACGTATTAATTCATTATAGGATCTCTTATATCTAATGGATTCTTGCCTTATAGAACGGTTCAAACTTATCAGAAATATTGTATCTGTGAAACATCTTATTCTTGTTCCTGTTGTCAAAATGTTATTATTTTGTATACCAAAGTTGAAAAAAATCGTAAGTATTTAATCATTTAATAAATATTATTTCGATATGTTTCTTTCAATCCAATTATTTTCAAGTTATCGTTTTAATCTATTTCTTTAATCTTTTTTTTACTTTATACAGTTTGCGTCAATTTTACATATCAAAGAAATGGATTGAATATTGATATTACGTTGAATTCCGACATGTTAAGAGCTAGAACAATCACAGATTATAAATTATTAAAGTTTTGCACTAATATACCAGGATGTTACTTCTCATCTGCATGTATAAATGTATTGGAACTCAATAAATTTCCCAGGTATGGCATACTAAGTGTAATTCTTTTATAACCGAGTCATATAATTTTTATTAAATATTTTTTAAATTTGAATCAAAGATCGATCACTGCTTGTCTTCGATTGGATATTTTCTCTAAGAAACGATTATGGCAATTAAATTATGACTGCGTCGGCATATCAACAGAATTGCCTACAATACCAAGTAATGGAACGATGTCAACAACGTCTGGAACTGCAGGAATGTCTACGACGATGAGTGCTGGAATGACATCAGCAATGACCACTAGTCAAGTAACTACTACGACGATGATAACAACGACGATAAAAAGTACAGAGCGTACTACATCACGAGATGTAGAGGTGATAACAGTACCCGGAAATGAATCAACAACGGTCGTGGATATCGATAAATAATTATTAAGAGATCAGTCTATCATTCTAAACAAAAATTAATTAATAATTAGTTTAAATGTAAAAATTTCTTTTGATAAGGAAGATTATGATATTATAATTAAAATATACAAAGAATTCATTAAAAAATTTATAAAATAGATTTATTTAACTAAGATCATATCTAAAATGCAAATAATAGTTATCGTTTTCTCTCATATGTCCATTTGTAAACAGGAGCAGAATCTTTTGATCCTTTTTTTACTAATTTTGGTTTCATAACCTTTTTATCTTTCAGTGCTCTTTCTATTTCCAATTTTTGTTGTATAATAGTCAATTCTCTTTCTCTGTTTATTCTTTTTTGTAATTCCTGATAAGCTTTATGTTTACTACGTTCAATTCTTTTCAAACTATTTTCATCTATTTCTGGTAATTTCATATCTTTTAATCTACTTAATTTTGGTCTGTTTGTGCGTCTAGATAATAATGCTGGATGTGTATCCAGTTTTTTAGCAATATCAAAGTTTTTGATTTCCTCTGAGCCATCTACAAAAAAGATATGTTTATTCTTTGTCTCATTTGCAGCATCTATCATATGCAATTCACTTTGTAGTCTATCTATTTTTTTTGCTTCTAGATTTCTCTTATAAGCAATATATCTAATATCTTGTGTTTCCATTAAGTGTATCTGTTCTGGTGTATACTCTTTATGTTTTCGTTTCTCTTTATGAATCCCACCATGTATTTTAGAATTGATCATGTGAAAGTAAAATTCATCTGGATTTTTATTAAGAGCACGTTTACGTAAAAGTTTCAAAGTTTGTTGTTTCTCTTGATAATCTTTAGCTCTAGCAACATAATCTTTCTTTTTCTCCAAAAGACCTAAATGCTTACGATTTTCTGGTTGATGTCTTTCACGATGAGTTTTTTGTGTAGCTTTCGCTGCTTTTTTCCACGAAGACATTGTTACAACTAAAAGAATTAAAAGAAATATTTAAATAAATCGAAACAAAATTTCACTTTTTATTAACCAAAAAAATATATTTACGAATATATATTAAGTTTTAATGATAATATAATTTTAATTAAACAATAATATACTTAACACACTGCACAATTAAATTAATAATAATATTATATTTTTTAAAATGAAATTATATTAATGTTATAAAGTGAACATTTTAATATTACAGAACATAACCTCAATCGTCGATTCGATATATATGATCGATATGATGATTGTAATGCAGCGCCACAGGAACTGAAAAATTCAAATCATTTATTTTATTTAATTTATTAAGAGATAGTTAAATTTTATAATTTTTAAAACATTTAATTTTTAAAATATCTCAAATTAAAAAATTAAAAATATTTCCATAGATATTATTTATACAATATTATTTATACAAAGATATATATTTATAATTCAATAATTCAATATAATAAAATATATCGTAGTTTTTTAATAAAATATTTCGAGAACAATCGTTAAAATTCAAATTATTATTAAATATATTATTCGGTTTGCGTAGATTGATGTGCTCTATCGGGAAGGGGCAAAACTGTATTGCCAACCGACAATGAGCCCTGATGGAAAACTTGAGTTTCTAATGACACTCTTCGAGGAGGTCTATTATTTTTCATTCTTGCAATTGGTTCACGCGCTTTAATTTTATACCACCCACGTTGTCGTTTTGCGATAGGACTTCTTATTTCAATCTGAGGAATAACAAATTCTGTTGGTTTTTTCGTGGGTGAACTTTCTATAGCATCTCTTGATCGTTTTCCTGGTCTTTGAGACAAGGATGACGCAAAATTTGACAAGAAATCAAAGGTATCTGAAGTAGAGGATGTTGGGCTGTCTTCATTTTTAGAGATTTCACTTGGAACAGTCTTGGAGGAAGCCATAGCTGCAATGGTAAAAGAAAAAAAAATGGAATGATAATAATTTTAATTTGAAGTAATTTTAAATATACTTAAATAATATGGTTATATACATACTGGAAAAGTTTTTCATGACATTTTTTACTGCGTTAGTAACTACAGATAAAATTCCACCAGAATTACTGCTATCAGAATTGCTATTTGACGAAATATTCGAATCTTTTTGAGAAGAATTACTTGAATTACTCAACGATGAATTAGAGACACTGTAATAACTATCTATGGATGTTATTGAATTACAACTAGAAGAGTTTTGGTTTTTGGTTGTAAAATTTGAAGTCATATATTTTAATTTTTTTAAACTAGAATCAATTATATCAGAAGTTGAAATATTAGAATTATTCTCCACTACTACCATCATTACTATTCGCGAGGAACTGGATGCTTGTTCATTATTATCGATTACATCCATTCTATTCGGACTATGATTTTCTTTCTCTATATTCTTCGCATTATCCTCATAAATTTTAATCTGTGATTTGTGTTTCTCCAAAGATTCCTTCATCTCCGATAACGTCTCACATGCTTCGAAATATTCTTCGTTTTCCGTTGTCGAGTTAGGCTCCGATGAATCCTCATATTGATCAGAAAATCGAACTTTCTTTGTAGAATCTGATCGTTTCTCCCCTTGATATTTATCCATACCTTGAAAATCTGGTAATATTTCATTTTCAATATTAATTAATTCCATATCTTCTAATTCGCAATTATTGGAACATTCAGTCGGATTGATATTATCTTTCATGTTATCCAGATTTTTAGATTTATTATGGGAAAATTCCTCTTTATTTTCGTGTTTCGATGGCACGGAACAGAAAGGAGTTTCCTCGTGAGTGGTGGTAGAAGGAAATGTCACGTAATTGCTCGAATTGTCGCACTTCGAATTATTTTCTTGCAAATCGCTAGGAATTTCACTGTTTTTTGACGATGCAGAATTAGTTACTGGTGTTTTCAAAGAGAAGTTCGGAACATTGGGCGTTTTAAAGTCGAAACTTGCTTTTTGTCCGAGAATCATAGGCGTGCTAGTATTTCTATGAAATTCTGGTGGAGAAGTCAGTGGACCACAATTATTATTAAACAAAGGTGATTCTTCTGAAGTTGAAGGTGGTGTCCCCAGTATAGATTTCTGCTCTCCAGATATTAGCGAATGATGACGTTGAGATTTCCACCATTTGCAAGGACCTTTAGAAAATATTACGTATAGAATCAATGGATGAATAAAGCGTTAACGACTCATGACATACAGAATTATTCATGTTCATTCATCAATGTTCATATAGAATTATTACTTGCACTCGAAATCGTTCCGCATTCTTAAAGGATCATATACATAGCATACATTTTTATTGGAGATAAATAAATGTTCAGGCATCGTGTCATCATAAATCTATATGGATTCTTAGAATTAAATCATTCTCTCATTTATTGTCGATATTCTAAATCTTTAAATACTCGATATCTTTCTCTCGATTATTCGCTCTATACTCATTCTATACTTATCCATTTATTAAAAAAAAAAAAAAAAAAAAAAAAAAAA